TAATTTTGATTGACAAAAACAAATCATCAAATGCCTGTGCGTGTTTTTGAATGTCTTAGTAACGTCGTTTTAAGCACCAGATCAAACTGAAATATGCGATTTACAAAGACTAGAGTGCAGAATGCAGTGTTTGGTCCACGACCGCAGGACTTTATACACTAAAACTCATTTTCCTACGATATGTGAACAATTATCTTTTCTTCTAGCATTTCGTGTATACTATAGTCAGAGACGTATATGCAAGTCCCGAGCCGCAAGTCCCGATAATGACTTCTTTCTTCAAGAAGACATAATGTTACCTTCAAAATACGATCTATTCAACGTAAATACAATTGTAAAAACAACTCTATTATTTGTTAAAACACCTGACTAATGAGCTGCCAGCAAGTTCAGTAACAACGGTATTTGTATAAACATTTGGAAAAACCGTTCTAGTACGTATATAAACAACTCGCAACTTACCTGTTGGTGAGAAACGAAAAACTTTTATTGTGTTTTTACACAATAAAAGTTCATTCGGAACACCTCAGATGAATTATGGAATCTGAATTATGAATCATTCGAGATGTTCCAAATGTGAAGCACTTGATGACAGGGCAAATTCCAGAATATGCAAACACTATGCATTACAGATGAAGAGCGGTAAAACATGAAATTGTTCTTCCAATAGTACTTGTGTTAGACAACCTAAGTAGGTGATGAAGAAATACCTCGGGACTCTGTAACAGTTACTGCGGGAAGTATACCACTTAAGAAGATATCGGTACTTCAGATGTAATTTCGATCCGTCAACGCATACTGATGCATCCCACACAGATTCCACCTTTATTGCAGAGTCGAACGTAATTTGGGAAAGTATTCAACTTACGCAAACTTTCACCTAATGCGCTGCAGCATACCTTGTACTGATTACAACAAAACATGTAGTCTTCATTACGCCTATCAGTCTAACGCAGGTACGTACTGTATGTGGTCCGACGAATCCATCAGTCGGAAACTAAAATAACCGATAAACTGACCAATAAACTAACCGATAAACCACCTTTGTAAATCACATTAACGGGATAGCCTAGAGTGGTTTCTGGTTAGGATATTGTAGTGCGTACACATGTACAAGGACATTGATAACCCGGCGATTGTTTGGCACGCGCACTTTGCACGTGCTGATGTTATTAGCCTGTGTATCGTCTGCTGGAACACTTGAAGGTGAAACTGAGGGATGAGTAATACCTTGAAATATGTGAAGGAAGTTTGGCAGAGAGATATTTTGGTACAATGTATAGAAAACCTCGCATCTCAAAGCGGGGAATAGCGTCTGATAAATTTACAGCTGGCCAAAAACAGCCATCTTTGATTCATATTCTGATTCGTCGTTCTTTTTCGTCTATTTGGAAGATACTGTAGCCTGACATATCATAATGGTCTCCGGGTTTTCTTCGACACTATACCTGCCCTGTTCTGCTACATAAAAGGATGTCGGTTTTACAATCTTGATTCCACTCATATTTAGGTTCTTTTGTTTCCTTGCAATTGAGTTTCAATTTATTTCCTCTCCGATTTCATTTAACAAATTGTTGGTTTCATAATGATATCCAACACATACCTGGTATACTAGCTGCAAATGTAACCTGAAAAAAAAGATATTTAACAATATATATATACAATAATCGTTCAAGAGTTACACAACACTTTGCAAGTATATATAAGACATATAAATACACACCATACAGTGCAGTTTGCTGGTCGTTGCTTAGAAGACAGTGTTGATGAAATAACGGTGTTTATTTCGTGTAGGGTAAGTTTATTATCAACCTTAATGAAGTATGTAATAAAGGCATGTCCGTAGTTTGAATTGAAAAATATGACATAAACATTGTAATTTAAAAGGAAATGTGCTAAATAATAACCTTCGGTTCCTTTTCCAACATACTTACCCCCCATCATATTTAAAGTCCTCATATTCATTTTCTCTTCTGATAAAATCCATATAACGTTAATAATATACAATGTTTGGCTAATAGAGAGCATATATATTTAAACTGGTATTTCATATAAAAAGTGCTAGAACAAATTCCATTTATCAGGAAACAAACGTTAAACTAAATCACTGATACGTTTTTGTGTCGTTAAAAACGATTTTATAATGGGTATTTTTTGTTTATTTCAAACTTGAACTGTTCAGATATTTCACGTTTCATTAGACTGAGGAGATTTCTATTCTCAAAACCATGTCTTTGTACGGTAAGCATCACATACTCCGACACATTACATGTACCTAGGTTCACTAAACCATTTTGATGTCATTACAAAATATATATCTTTTCTTGTGTGAGCTGTCATCTTCCGACTTTTAGCAGATAATGTATAGCATGTCTCGGATGATGCCTGATAATAACCCGTATTAACGTGTCTTGAGATGATAATTAATGCTATTTATGGATTATAATCCCCTTACGTATAGAACAGAGACAACGCGTACAGTGGCCTGGTTGTCAAGACATGCATGCAATGTCGTAATACCGGATTCCCTTTAGATATAATCTACACATACCATCTATCACTTGTTGCCACGCCTTTACTGACTCTATCATGTGTAAAGACATCGAATTCAATATCTTAGAAACCCAGGGGATCCAAAGATAACAAGGGTTCCGAAGATAACAAGGTTCTCTAGATTGAACCATTCGGAACACATCGGCCGATTCAATCATTCTTTGATGAAAGGAATTGTAATCGGGGCGATGTGTTCCGTATAGGAGATAACAACGGTTCTGGAGACCAATGGCTCTGCTTCTGAAAACACCTTTTTTCTGCAAAGAAGATACGTTGTATGTGATACTAAGAGCAGAACCCTTGGTTTTTAAAAAAAATGGAATCTTAAATGAAGACTAGAAAATCTTTCTAATTCATCAATAAATAAATATTTTCTTTGCAAAGCACAGTCGAAAATGTGTCAAAGTGTAACATTATAGGTACATGTACATTATCTCTACACTTTTATGTGTCATAACAATTATATTCAACATTTATAAAAAAAAAATACATAAATAAAACTAACAATGATATTTTCATCTTAACTCCCCCGTGGCGTTTAAGGTGCATCAGTACACGTGCACTAAGGAAGATCTCGGAGATAAATAACAGGCTTGTTATCAGCTACACGTACGTGCCCTCCACATATGTCGTGATATGCTGTATACACTATAGCTATATGCTTCTTTGCTGGTGGATATTTAAAGAAACATTACGGACAGAATTTAAATTATTTTAAGGATTCCTGCCCCACGTACTACACTCTGGTTTTTCGTATGTATATACAGTGCCCTCCCTTTAATTTCGTTTTGGATATCATATTGTCTACACTCACTTATTTCCTTATCCCATATACCAATTTTAAGTAATTCGTACCTTTCTGTCATACGTTTGTAAAGATCCAATGTTATATGGGATTTTACCGTTGATATTACTTCTTTGACGATATATACCGTACATACATGTAACATTTCCGTCCAGGATTGAATTTGCACTCCAACTAATACATTTACATAGTTATATAATGTTATGTGATAAACAAATTCACAAAAATTAAAATAACATTTCATAGAGAGTAAGTAGGAGAATTTTAAAATGGTATTTGCTTCAGGAATGTGTAGGGTATGTAATCTTAAGTATTTTTTTCTCTTTTCTCTTCTTATATAATGCTTGGTTGTACACAGGGTTTGACGTCCTATCAACAGCTAAGGTCATTTAAGGACGTACATTCACGTGTGTTGTGTATGCGTGCATGTGTGCAGTCCTAGAATTATTGAATGCTAGCTGTTGGCGCCGAAATGGCAACTCCGCCTGTATGCTCCCCATGGAGTTGAGAAAGGTATTGGCTGGTTGCAAAGGCCCTTTAACCACGGATACTAATTTGTGAACCGCCTTGAGACGACATACATATACGAACATCGAATTATTATATTAATTATGTGTGTACGTGTGCCGGTGACATGGTGAATTAGTGTATTTAAATAATGCACTACATATTACATTACTGATGGTTCTAAAACATTGTTCAATTACAAATGAATGATTACAAAGTATAGAAGCATTTATTGAAAAATGTAATATGCCAATGTAAGTCAGCAGTTTCTGCACCGTATGAACATGTCGTTCAATTACGGCACATCAGTGGTACCCAAGCTCATTATAATTATAACTATGCTCAAAATGTTCCGAAATATGTGTAAAATTGTAGCAAAATAGGGAAGTACTTATTAAACCCTTTAACACATTAACAGTTTACAACTTTTAGGTACAAAATTTAATTATTAAATGTGGTGACTGGTACGATTTTGAAAAAAAAATGAAATATAAATGATGTAATATAGAGCCATGCAGGTCACTAAAACCTCACAGAGAGTTACGAAGCATCTAGATACAGCTAGGACGAGAACACACCTGCTGTTACCCACTTCATGTATCGTAAGAGGCAGAATTCGGGATTTGCTTATGTGCCCTCTATTTGGGGACACAAAAGCGACCAAGATATATCTGCTGCACTCATTACAATATTTGGGATCTTTTAATTTCTCTCTGCTTCTAACTACTTTTAAATTTCTAACGCCTTGCTCAGCAAATCTCACGTTGGGCTTCAATGTTTAACGTTCGCATAGGTGAGAACTCCTTAAATACGTCAGTTGCTCCCTGCTTAACGTTCAGCATTAAGGGTAGTCTCACCAGCTGGTCCACTCATTGTCAGTATATTGTGACCGCGCGGGATGCGATGCTGGGTGACTTCGGCATGGATTTCAGTGAGATATCACTATAAAGTCGGCATCAGATCCGCGCTATCACAAGAAGGGAAGCATAACAACATGCAATGCCTGATGCACACAAACGCGCAAACACGCATACACAACACACATGGAGGCACATCCTTAAATGAACTTAGCTGTTGATAGGACGTTAAGCAAATAATAACCCAACCGTCTTTGTTCTTTTTTTTTTCTCTCCAGATAGTCACCCTATAGATTAGTACAATGCCATTCAAACCTCCAGAGCAGGCCAAGTGTCCGAAGTGTGGAAAGTCCGTATATGCTGCCGAGGAAAGAATTGGAGCAGGACAGAAATGGCACAAGTTCTGTTTCGTCTGCGGTGAGTCTCTTCATTATACATGTTTTGCCCTTAATGTAGGACAAGAGCCACCACAACCTAGATCCGAATGGCGGAAGCAGACGACACCAATGGCGCTTTAGCCTGATCATCAATATTAGTGCGTTATTGCTATTTTTTCCGACATAATAAAATAGTTATTGCCTCTACTGTAGGAAACACGATTCTTTGTTTCACCGAGGTTAATCATGTTTCACGAGGGCGAAGCCCGAGTGATACTGGATTAATCGAGGAGAAACACAGAATCGTGATTTCCTACTGCATGGACAATGTTATGCCGAAGGAAAAAATCAAAAACAATAACACAATAGTAGAGGTGATCAGGTTGACGCGCCATTGTTGTCGTCTGGTTCCGTCATTCGGAACTAAGTTGTGGTGTGGATCTTGCCGATGTTTCTACAGAAGAAATATAATCGGAGAAAACTGGAGCGCGTGGGGGCAATATGATGTTTTATTACCTTTTATATGTGATGATCAATATTATCAAATCAGACACGAGTTAATAAAGATGAGGTAAAATAATACCATTGAGAGATCGTATTGATATAGTACAAGTTCATCTGCAGAATCGTGTTTATTTTCTAGGCCATTTTTATGAGTTATAGAAGAGACCAAAATGTATCTGATTGAACCATCGCAACAATTGGCACCTCTATGTGGTCTTGCATAATCCATTCAAGTCTCCAACATCCTCTTGGGTATTTTTGGCAATTTAGTCTGATGTCGCTGGTATTGTAAGAAATAAGTAACCGGTTGGTAAGACATGCTGCCGTGTTTAGGTTTGCCTTTCAAGGAACAGTGAACAGTTGTGTAGCGGGTTGTTTAAATTCTTACTGAACATAAATCACGAAATTTTGCTCTTGTCTTTCGGAGGGAGTGCTGTTTACCCAATCGGACATGATGTACCGTTTAGGTTTTATTCTAAAAACAAGTTGTCTAGCTTGTCAAGGATATAAACATATTAGAGTTCACGTACCAGTACATAAGTATACGGAATTATTTAAAACAGAACGAATATATTTCATCGTCAACTTTAAGATAAAGACTTTAATTAATTGCTATACAACCGCATGGTACAATACAAGTATTATGAAATTTGACACAGTGTTCAATATGTATTGTGAAATCAGATATTTTGGTGGGGCCTAAATTTCGTGGTTTCCCGACAAAACACCATTTTGTGGGTACATGAATTCGTGGATTACGAGTACCCACTCAAAAGGAAAAATGCTTTATATCAAACTTATAATTACTGCGTGGACCTATAGATTCGTTAATGAAGATTACCCACGAAATCGATGAAATTAAAAATCCCACGAATATTAAGGATTTCGCAGGAAATACTGCTGAATTCATTAACTGCTGAACAGTGTTTGTACTACAATATATTGTTTGAGATGTTTCATCATTGCTGAGTTTTTGCGAAACATTTCGTTATCACTGAAGTTGTTTGTTTGAAATATTTCATTTTTAATGAAATTTTTGTTTGAAATATATTTTATGATTTCTGCAATTTTGTTTTAGAAATACTACATTATTTCTGCACCTGACTTTATGGTTTAATTGATGTTATCCACAGGTGTATGCAGCAAGATGCTCGACAGCACCACCGTAGCAGCACATGACGGTTTAGTGTATTGCAAGAACTGCCACGGCAAGAGCTTCGGACCTAAGGGATATGGCTTCGGTGGCGGAGCCGGTGCTCTTAGCACGGAAACCGGCGCTCAGCACGGCGTAAAGAAGGGAGAAATGAGGTAAGCAAACGGAAAACAAAACCAAAACGAAACAATAAATGACGAAGTAAATTTAGTTGGCTTGGAAAATGATTAATACAGTAAAACCTCGTTATAGTGCCATCATTTGTGCAGATACATTTATGGCGTTATAAAGGAGTTCAGCGATAACCTGAGGGAAGTATGCATGTAAATAAATTGGCGGTAAGCGAAGTGGCAAATGAAACGGGACGTTATATCGAGGTCGAGGTCTCACTGTGATACGTGTCTGCAAAACAACAGATTTTAAGTTTTCCCCTGTAGTTCTTCAAGTCTAAAAAATGTCTAAATAATTTTAGCTCTATATCAATTAAAACACATTTAATAAAACATGTGCTGAAAACCTTATGTGCTGAGTGAGCATGCCCACACCTTCTCCTAAATAAAAACAATCCGTGAGAAGACAAACATTTGGCGCACAATATCGTGGTGAAATCTAGGAGGAGCAATGAAGCGCACAATTCTTTTGTTTCTTTCGCCGTTAGTGATGCAAAGCTGTCTTTAAAAGTCAGTAGCAAGCATACTGACAGATGTTTGTACTGGTAGCCATCTTTGCTATTATAAGTCACGCGAGGTAATGTAACCGTATTTTGTTGATCTGTATTAAGAACATTGCGTCTCAAAGTGTTCCCCCGGCTTGACATGATATTTCTGTTTTTGTCTAATGCACTACTGCAATGTTCAGAAACACAGTTAAACGACCACATTGTCCACAGTATAATGGGAACGTCCTTTACTGTATTAAAAGAATTGACATTTAAGAAAAAGTGTTAAATTTTGAGAGCAATGAGGTCATGGTTTTCTGCAGGATGAAAATGCTTGACCTTTTCTGGCAGCTTTAAAAAAAGAATCTGCGAGGAAATTAGAATAAACATAAAATTATGCCTCGAAATGCTGCACGATAAATATTAACGTTATAGATTTAATTTTGTCACTGACCTAAAAAGCATATACAAGTATTAACCTTGTTTACAGTAACAAGCCTACCGAGGGTCATGTTGGAGTCTCCACCGGTCCGGGTCCCCATTGCCCCAGATGTGGAAAGACCGTCTACGAAAACGAGAAGGCAATTGGCCTCAGTATCGTGAGTAGACATTTTACACACTCTTGTTATTTTTTTTAACGTTGATAAAGCGTATATTTACTAGTTTTAAGACACCGATGAGATAAAGAGGATTGCATTAGCGATACGGATCGGAACTAGACACATAAATACAAAAATACACACACATATATATATATATATATAGTTAGTGTCCAGTGGTTAATTTAAATCACTTATTCGTCAACTCGGATGAGACCGAACTATATAAAGAAATCACTCCCAAAATGCACGTCATTGTTTTCCTGATAAAGCTCAGACAGACAAAAAAATCGAACACTTAGTGTACCCTTTCACCCCCATGTAACTTTAGTAGACTCTTCAATGCATTGATCTGGATGAGTCCATTTTGGTCTACAGTGGTGACAGGGTTAAGTGGAACATTCAAATAGCTTTCTTCTGTTTCAGCAGTCTTAGCAGTAACTGAACTATACATTTTCAAAGGTTTGGTCCAAGGTAGTAATACAATGTATTTTATACATTTTACAAGAATACATTGTCATCTTGTACCATTTGGCGTCCACTGCATTGTTAGCTTCATTTGATATTAATACAGCATTAACGATAACGCTGATATTGTTTATTGAAAGTTATGTCTTCATTTATCATTGTCATGAATATGATTTGTTAGATCTTTTATATAGGTGAAGCAACCTCCCAAACTCTCTCAATAAAATACATTGCCTAGTCAGGCGAGCTTGCAATAAATTTAGTGTGCGTAATTTTGTCAAGTTTAAGGTACTAGAACTAATTAAAAATGGCGATCATTCGTTACCCTGTTATCTGTCAGCTCTGTAAACCATTTGATTTCAACACTTGAACCTCTGCTAAGCCTCTATCTACAATTTCAAAAAATCAGTTGGAATATAAAATGGGCTGCGGTAGGTGATGCAGTATCTGTGCTGTAGCGTTCAAGTGAGGTGGCACTTTAAAAGATGCAGTTGAAAGCAATTCCCACTACAAACAGAACACGATACATCTTCAGCACACACACAGGCATACACACATAGGGAGATATTAGCCAGGTGGCATATATCTAGTAGTTATCGCCTGATAAGGCATCTCCTGCAAATTCCTCAAAATTATATTGATTACTGTTTTGCATTTTATTTATATGTAATTGATTATATAAATCGTATATCCATGTACTGTAAAACGCTTTGGAGTAGCTTATTCTAGCTAGATAGGGCGCTATATCAAATGTTGTATACTTATTTATTATTTTCATTTATTTTCATTGGTTCAATACTTACTATAGTACACAATAGTGATTTAGACAAAAATACAAAATGTACTGAAGAATGTTCTATTTCTATTTATTTATTTATTTATTTATTCATTTATCAAAAGAAAAGGCCAGTTTTTGGAGTATACGGTGTATACCGAAAAATGTGCGCAATTTGCATACATCCGCAAATTTAATTATAAAAGACAGACAACTCTTTTTAGTTCATAAATGGTGAATATTGATTTATTTTTGACAAAATAATTAAACAAATTTTGCAGCAACCAATCAGAAGTTAGAATTATAAAAAAAAGCCAAATATTGAAATATACGACGTCATCATGTCTATTTGTTTTTGGTTATACGATTTATCCTGATTAATCTAGTACACACGGAGGCATACACACATAGGGAGATATTAGCCCGGTGGCATAGGAATAGTAGCTAGCACTTGATTGTATTGATTAATGTATATGCTAATTGTATTAATTGTATATCTATGTACTGTAAAGCGCTTTAGCGTGGCTTATGTTAGCTAGATAGGGTGCTATATCAAATGTTACATATATATTATACATATTAAGGCAATATCCAAAATGAAATTATTTATAAATCAAATTTATGTTTGTTTTACAGGCTTTTCATAAAAGCTGCTCCAAATGTAAGTCATGTAATAAAAGCATCGACTACAATACCATGTCCGAACACGAAGGGGACATATACTGCAAAGGTAGGTACATCATGGTATACTAAAGTAAAACAAAACAAGTCAAGGTCATATATCACGTAGGTCAAGTTCATACTTGGAATGCTAAAATCAGTTTATAAAACTTATACCACGTAGATCAAGGTTTTACTTACATTACAGCTGACAGTGCAAGTTAAAAAGCTTTCAATTGAGATTTGTATTTTTTTCTTGTTTTGTGATGAGCGGTACATGTATGACAGGTAATGCACTTTTAATATCCAGCAAGACTCATACTCGTTACCAAGCAAGGACAAATTAAAATGTCGGCACTACCTTAGAAACGATACTCGAGATGGGGAAGATCTCAAAACCAGAAAAAATATTTTGAAAAGTTTTTTTTTTTTTTTTTTAATCTTGACCTACGTCGGGTTCGTGACCGAAGGGTTGTGGGTTCGAGTCACGTCACGGCACTGTGTTGTATCCTTGAACAAGATACTTTACTCCGCTTGTTCCAGTCTACTCAGCTGTAAATGAGTACGTGGTTGGGCAGTGCAAGAATTGTAGAATGCTAGCCATTAGCGACGAAATGGCAGCTCCGAATAATTTGTGAACCGCTTTGAGGCGACCTACGATCTAGGTTGTGATAAAGCAGCATATAGGAACCTCGAATTATTACTATCATTATGTATTATTAAGATATTATATGGCGCTGTTTTCCTTTGTCGTTTCAGGATGCTATGCGAAGAATTTCGGACCCCATGGATTTGGTGTTGGTTCATTGGCCTAAATATCACATCACGTCACAAAATCCCTTCGGACCTTTCCCCTTCCATCTGACCGATCCAAAACACGCGAGGTGTGTAGATAGATTAGTACGTGATAGGTTACCCCCGCCTAGTCCCAGATAGATGTGTAGATATAGAAACAACACGGATAAGTCTATATTTATAAAAACCTTGAATGAGTCATTTGTTTGTGTCATTGTCAATAAAAAAGAGTAAATAAATGAAAATGCATACATTACCTGATACAATTTGAATTTGTTTATTTATTTTTCAAAACTTATCGTATGTCGATGCTTTCCGCCCCAAGGGCATCACTGTCAGAAAAGGCAAATGTATTGTAACACAGACACGGTAGTCTAGTGTTGGGACGCCGGGCTCGTGACCGAAGGGTTGCAGGTTCGAGTCACGGCACGGCACCGTGCTGTATCTTTGAACAATATACTTTACTTCGCTTGTTCCAGTCTACTCAGCTGTAAATTATTACTTTGTTGAGCAGTGCTTGGAATGTTGAATGATAGCTGTGAGCGCCTAAATGGCAGCACCGGTTGTGTGCTCCTACGGGAGTTGAGCAAGCTATTGGCTGGTTGCAAATGCCATATAACCACGGATAATAATTTGTGAACCGCTTTTAGATGACTTACGAGCTAGGTTTGTGAGAAAGCGGTATATAAGAACCTCGAATTATTATCATTATTATAAAGGCAATATATACAGGAAAAGAAAACACTTAAACAATGGGGAGAACAAACGAAAGCTACCATAAGAGGACAGTACCCAAAACGGAACACTTGTGGGAAAAGGGCTCCAGAAACTCTTATGCAAAGCAAAGAAGTAGTTTTATGTATGCAATTTTCACTCGATGATACTTTTAAATCAATCTAACTGTACATCGACTTGATTGATTATTGATAATGGTCGCATAGGCAGCTTAAATTTGAAAAATAATCACGAAAATAAAACTTTCTTAATTTATGTACAGTAATAATTTGGATATCATTTTCGGAAGCCTATATTTTTTCAAAAGTACAGCTATTTTGAAGAAAAAAATAATCAGAACTTCCTCTGATTATAAAATATTTGAACCATGTGTATTTGTCTGCTTATATTGATTGTTTATCGCCTAATTTCAGCCAAACTACCAAACTGCCTCTTTCAGGGTACAGATACGCCTGTTCAAGGACCTTTAAGACTCTGATAGTATTTCGCGTACTATTTATACATTCACAAGTCGAAAATATCAATTTGTACAGTAATAGAAAAGAAAGGTCGATGGCTTCTATTCATGAAAGATGAACTAACAAATGTTTTATTGAAATGATACTATGGTTTACAATACATTGATATTTAACTAAAATGTGTCCCGATTTGTGTACACCGACTGTGAGCCTGGCATTAAAGGGTGATGTACTTTTCACGGATTTAATGAGGATAAAACGTTCCTGACTGATATTTTATGATGTTCTAGAAAGACAAATATTTGTGACGTTTTAGAAAGGTATATAATTCCTGACATGCTAAAAGGATAAACTATGAAAGCTTCTTAAATCCTTTAAGTCCGTTTTCCCCACTTCAACAGTGTTTAAAAAGAATATGATAGATACACTGTATTGTATCTTTGAGCAAGATAGTAGACTCCGCTTGCTTCAGTCTACTCAGCTGTAAATGAGTACGTGGTACGGCAGTGCTAGAAGTGTTGAATGCTAGCTGTGAGCGCCGAATGGCATGCACCGGCTGTAAACTTCCCATGGAGTTGTGCGTGGTTCATTGTTTGCGCATGACTATAATATCAAAACATGATACTATCATTTTTTTAGAAATATACGTAAATGTAGGATTATTAATAATAGAACTAAATACTAGAATTCCATTCCGTAGGCTATTGACCTTCAATTAGGTTATTAACTCGCCAACGGAAAACATAACTCGCGATTTTAAATATATATATATATACGATCGAATAATTTCACTGTGTTTGTCTTTATTCGAAAGGTAATATGAAACATTGTCAACTCTTAATTAAGGTGTGTATACGTAAACCAACTCTTGGACCAGCTGTTTAATAATTAAAAAACCAAGGAACAATCCGTATATAAAGGGGGCGTTGTTCTTATCTTTTAACTCTGGTCAGTTACCCCGGTATATCTGAAAGGTAATTACGCTGCACACTGGCATGGGAAGCATTTCTTGTAATTAAGAAGGACATTGTTTATAAGACGAAAAAAAGATATGTAAAATGGAACCGTTATAAGGACACAGGAGATACATAGCTTCATTTGACGGTCAGTATCACGATGGATTAATACGGGTTCATTACAAAGTCAATAATATGCAGATGCCTCAAGGCAGTTTTACATGGTTTGTCGTGAGAACAATTTTCTCATCGCAAACACGTGGATCAAATCCAGAGGCCACCACTGGTTGACTCGATCAGTTATCCACATACAAACGATGAAGAAATTATTCCAACGGCAAAGTTTGAAAAAGTTGTGTGATAAACTGTTTATCATCTACATATATCACTTCCTTATATATTTCTCCATTCATAAAAAAATCAACTACATTCTCTATCTTCCAAATGAAAACCTTGAACCTTAAAACTAAAAACAAAAAAAGACTTGTTATCGTCATTAGCTTCTCGATATGCACATTTACGCACCAAATGATGTTGTTATCTTCAAAAAACATTTCATGACTTTATAATAATTTGTTATTGCGGACTATTTTCTTACGCGGATCACCCTTTTGTAATTACTAGTTTATAGTGTAGGACGTCATGTGACGTGTGCAGACGTTCTTTACGTTCCATTCTCAAGTTGTTCTCAAGTCGTTCTCAATTTTTTCCTGACACCCCATGATAATGCATTTATCACGCTACCGGTTGGCGGTACAAATGTATAAAACAGTATAGTGATGATATAGATGAAAAAGGATGAGGAGTAGCATCATTGAACATTCATCAAGACGCGGCATCATATACCATTCATCTCGACACTTCAGTGACGAAAAATAATAAAACAATCTTCAAGAAGACGCAGCAGGCGCGAAACATTACACAATACCTACACAGTTTTCTACACACAGAAGACACGAGGTATCATACACTAGTTCTCAAATCACAGAAAATATGAGGTTTTGTTTTATTTTGTTTAACGTCTTATTAACAGCTATGGTTATTTAAGGACGTGTCTCCATGTATGAGTGCCGGAGACAGGGTATGTTGGTGTACTTGCCTCTTTGTAATAGTGCGGATCTGATGCCGACTTTATAGTACTATCACACTGAAATAACATGTCGAAGGCACCCAGCACAGCAGCCCGCCCGGTCACATCATACTGACAACAGGTGAACCAGTTATTGACATTCCCTTAAATGCTGAACGTTAAGCAGGGAATAACAGCTTCAATTTTTAATGACTTTGGTATGTTCAAGCCTGGGGACAGAACCCATTGCCTACCTCACCTTGGCGAACGCTCAACATGAAAGCCAGAAGTGAGGTATTGCCAAGCAAGGCGCTAGTAAACAAAAGGTAGACAGAAGTAGAAAGAAAGATAAAGTTCCCAAATGTTGCAACAGGTGCAGCAAATTTATTTTGGTCGTTTTTGTGTCCTCAAATAGAGGGGACACCAGCAAATCCCCAATTCTGCAGGAGGTCACCACATTAGACGCCTCTTACGATGCATGCAGTGGATAACAGCGTGTGTATATTTTTTCTCGATCCCCAACCTGCACGGGTGAGAACGAAAGCATGAGGTAGTTTACACTAGTTCTCAAGACACAGAAAACATAATGTTTTACACGATTGAGTCCTCAAGACACAGAAGACACAAGGTATTGTACACTATCCCTAAAGACACTCAATTCATGCGGTATTATAACTTACCCTAACGACACAAGTCCTCAAAACAAAGAAGACGCGAGATATAACACACAAGTATTCAAACTCAGAACAGAAACCACGAGGTATCATATGCAAAAGTGACAATGAAAGGACGATGCATAATACATTAGCGGTCATCACACTACAGCAGGCACGAGGTAATATTTGCCAGTTATCGAGACAAGAAGCATCATGTAAAATTACACTAGTCTTCAAGACATAGAAGGTACGAGGCACGATTTACTTGAGTCATCAAGACACAGAAAACACAAGACCTCATTTTCTAGTCATCAAGACGCAGGTTGGATATCTAAAACAACAGGTTAGTTATGACTGTTGTTCAAAATAAGTAAAAGTTAAGCGATTTCGAGCAAGCATGTAACATAAAATAATTGGTAGAGGAATGATTTAAATAAGGACTTGAAAATTGACATTGCTCATTTTTAATTATGTGACATTATTAAGTATGCCACAGCATAATAAGGTACACAAACAATCGGAACTTAAAGACTTACTTTAAGCGAGATCAAATGAACAGGAGAAGAATTAATTAGGCATCCACTTGAAAGCTTTTGACTAATTAAATTGCATATATTTGAAGTCATACCGATTAATTGCTACGAAGAGGTTCACTTTTATCGAGAGTCAGCTATCACGCAGCTTTTCGCAATTTCATGAAATTAAGTGTTTATGTTAGTTAAGTGGCTCACCACAATATTTGCTACCGGAGAGGGGGATGGAGAGGATAATATTTCCATTCGCCTTTCAGAAAGAAACTATGGCAAATATAGTAATTTTAATTTCAATTTCAATTTTTACAGCATGGTCATCATGAAAATGTCACTATCATGTTACTGTCAAACATAGCATTGCTTTTTTGTTTTTCTTGTTTTGGATTGAGTTTTAACGTCTTCACAACAACCAGGGTCATATGAAGACTTCCCAGGGAGACACAGCCGAAAAGAGAGAACAAATAGGGAAGAAAATAGGCAAGAAAGACAGGAGATGGAAAGGATATATAAAAGCTGACGTTATCAGGGCAGTGATCAATTTTGGTATTTTCCGTGTCCTCTTAGTAGAAGACACAGAATGAACACCCCACATCCCCTCGATTCTGCAGGTTGTTCCACATTAGAAGTCGCTTAGGATATACAATGATCATGTAGTGGGATACGACAGGCAAGTTTTTCGTTTCTCATATGTCCTGGAAAGAGAAGACACAGAACAAAACCTTTATCAATTCTGAGAGGGAGAAGGGGACACTCTTGTCGCCGCCGCCGATCATGCCATGGGATAGAGCAGACCTATTCCTTTCCTGTCGGTATCTTGCGTTAAAACTTTATGTAGCATAAGGTTAACAATGCGCCAAGTGTGGAA